CCCATTATTTTTGCCATTTTAGGCAGATTCCTATACATAGTAAGAAAAATTTGAATAAATTTTTGAACATTGGGGGCTTGGGCTTTAAAGAAAGCAGGGGAGAAAATTGAAAATAATTAAGGTTCTAGAGCATGGAAATCCTTTTTTTGGGGGGGGGCTGAATTCTGGGTCTGGGCGCTGTCCCTCAGCTCTTCAGCTCAAGGCTAGCATTCAACCATTTGAGCCACAGAACCACTTCCGGGTTTTTTCTTTTTGCTTATGTGGTGCTGAGGAATCCAACCCAGGGCCTCAGGCATGCAAGGCAAGCGCTTTACCACTGAGCTACCTTCCCAGCTCCTGGAAATCCTTTTTTAGAATTTTTATTATAAAGGTGATATGCAAAGGGGTTATAGTAACGTAAGTCAGATAATATTTCTAATTTTTTCTTATGTTCTTAAAATATTTTTGTTTTTGTTGTCGGTCATAGGTCTTGAACTCTGGGCCTAGGCACTGTCCCTTAGCCTTCAGCTCAAGCTAGCATTCTACCACTGGAGCCACAGTGCCGCTTTTGGTTTTCTGGTGGTTAATTGGAGATAAGAGTTTTACGGACTTTCCTGCCTGGGCTGGCTTGGAACCGTGATCCTCAGATCTCAGCCTCCTAAGTAGCTAGGATTACAGGCATGAGCCACTGGTGCCCAGCAAATTTTTTTATTGTTGTTATAATGGTGATGAACAAAGGGGTTACAGTTACATAAGCTATGTATTTCTTTCTTTTTTCTTTTTCTTTTTTTTTGTCTCAGTCATGGGGTCTGAACTCTGGGTCTGGGCGCTGTCCCTCAGCTCTTCAGCTCAAGGCTAATGCTCTACCACTTGAGCCACAGCACCACTTCCAGCTTTTTCTGCTTATGTGGTGATGAAGAATCGAACCCAGGGCCTCATGCATGTAAGGCAAGCACTCTACCACTGAGCCACCTTCCCAGCCCCGAGGTATTGCTTTTTGGACAGTGTTACCCCTTCACTTTCTCTCTCCCAGTTTTTCCCTCCCATCTCCACCCACGAGTTGTAGAGGTAATTTTCAACACAGTGTCTAGTGAGAATCACTGCTGCATTTGTTCACCTTTGGTACCTCCATTTCTGTTCCTCCCTTTACCCAAAGACAAAAAGAAAAGAAAACAAAAACAGCAACAAAGAAAAAAACCTCGTTTCCATTTGAAACCATTTTTTGATATTAGTGGAATTTCTGTTGTTTGTTCTGTGGAATCCTTCATTGCAATTTCTTGGTTTCACTGGTCCCAATTTTCAAGTTAAGTGCTGGCATGTGTGTCTTCATTGTATGTGGCAGAGGGCAGGAGTCCTGGGCCCTGGGTGTGTCTGCAGAGGATGATGGGAACTGAAATGTATTTTGGTTTCGTTGATGTCTGTGCCTGGAGGTATGCATCTCTGTTGGAGGAATGTAGCACTTTAGAAATAATCGCTTCTTTCACCATACTGGGAGCTTGTTGCACAGGTTGTTTTTCCCACTGAATAGAATCAGCAATTTTTCCATTTAAAATGCAGAGACACAGACCGAACAAACACAACATCGGTGTTTTCCACCCATAGAATTTACCAGGACGTGTAGACATCCGTTATTCAAGAGCATGTCTGCAAGATGCCACAGTTAACCAAAGGAAAAATGAAAAAACTCAGGCATCTAAGCAGAATCCCAACCACAAACACTCAGCACCTAGGCGCCTCATTTAAAACCCAGCCAAGTTATGAGATTTAATTGAATCAAGATAGCCACAAAAAGTGCTGTAAATGTTTTCATTAGCAAGGACCTCTCTTCTGTTGTACGCAGCTATTTTGCAATTTTCCAGTTTTTCTCCAATGTGACTTTCTGGAAGAATAAAATTAAATAAAGAACCAAGCTTTTCCCTTCTTGACTCTCATTTCTTTCGAATCCTGTGACTCAACATAGAATCCTGCAACAATGGCCTTCAAGGCTCCTTCACAAAACCTGTCAGGGTGCACCCTTCCTGCCATCGGGACTCGGCTGATATCCTGTCAATACAATTATGGGGAGAGACTGCTTGGTTTGCTCCCCTGACAGCCTCGAAGCTTCCATCACCCTGAAGAGGCAGGCTGCACACAGGGGTGGAATTTATTCCATTGAGCACCCTCAGAAAGTGCAAGTGATCAGGCACCTGATTGTTTTCATAATTTATTACCGACTTTGTTTTTCTGTAGGGGGTTTTGTCACAAATAAAAAGTGCATGCATTTGTAAAATAGAGCCAGGCAATCACAGCATCTGGAGCTGGGAGGAAGCTTACAGACATCTGATCTATCTTTCCTTTTTGAGGATAGGAAGGCCCGCCAAGGGAAGAGAATCACCCAAGCTGCTGCTCTGTTGTGGTGTCAGAAGTTGGACGAGACTCTGACTGGGTTTTTATTTTTTTGTTTTGTTTTGGATTGTTGTTGTTGTTTGGGCTTTTTTTTTTCTTCTGGTACTGGGGTTTGATTCAGGGTCTCACCGTTCCCTTGGCTTTTCCTGCTCAAGGTTGATGCTCTTATCACTTGAGCCACACCTCTACTGCCAGAACTGGAGGAGAGTCCCATAGACTTGCCTAACTGGACTGGCTTCAAACTTCCATCCTCAGATCTCAGCCTTCTTAGTAGCTAGAATGACAGACATGAGCCACTGGTGTCTGGCTCAGTCCGAGTGTATTTGGCTGCATCTCTTGATTTATTCATTCATGACAACTCAGGTTGGCTATATACTGTATAACCAGCAGTCGCCAAAGTTCACTAACTAATTTCAATACCATCTCAATATTTCTTCCACAGGAACTCTACTGATTTATTGGGACTTGATTGACAGGCAAGAAATACTTCTTAAATGGTTATTAAGTGTCTGGAACCATCTTATATTCTCATTGCCTACAAAGAGTTAATTGTGTAGTATTTAACTGGGGAGGCGGAAACCACCCTCCCAACGTGAGTGCATGAGTGTGCACGTGCTCATCTTAGCACAAAAAGCATTGGCTGAGAAAGGTGCTCATGAAATGCTAGCTGCTCTTATTGTTGAACACATACACATGTTCACAAGAAGCCAGTCCATGTCATAGGTCACTCCTGTGAATTTTCCAGTAAAATATACTGCCTAGAGGGGCTCAGATTTGAAGAGAGGTATATCCTAGGCAGGACTCAGCAAAGCTTTATGGGAGAACAAACCTGAGACTAGATCTTGAAGGATGAGAAAAGCAGGTTCATCTCAGAAGTGAGGAGACTGGAAAACAAACAAACAAACAAACAAACAAACAAACAAACCTCAGCCCTCTGGGACAAAATGATTCTTCCTGCCTTAGCTCCTTGGTGTTCACAGGTTTTCTTTCTTTTTTTTTTTTTTTTGGGGGTCCGGTCATGGGGCCTAAACTCTGGGCCTGGGCGCTGTCCCTCAGCTCTTCAGCTCAAGGCTAGCGCTCTACCACTTGAGCCACAGCGCCACTTCCGAGTTTTTTTCTTTTTGCTTATGTGGTGCTGAGGAATCGAACCAGGGCCTCAGGCATGCAAGGCAAGCGCTCTACCACTGAGCCACCTTCCCAGCCCTGTTCACAGGTTTTCATCTCGACTCAAGTTCTAGTTCATGAGACTCAATGATGCTTCTGGAATCATCATCATGAGAAAGCATTTATTGAGAACCAGTGGGTTTGAATGCATGCTGTACAAAATTAGATGAGCACACCAATAGCTTACATCTCCAATAAATATTGATGTTTGTGGACATAAACACATAGACAGAGACAATGAAAAGAAAGGTAAGGTGGTAAAGACACAGTTGTGCAAGTATCCCAGTGTGGGTCAGTATTTTATTATAATTGAGTCCTGCTTGAAAATGATACACTTTCTCTGCTGGAGAGAATATACCTCTGATGGTTCTATCCCCTTTGCATGCAATTACAATGTATCAGAGAATAAAATGTGAGGAAAGAATTAAAGATGAGCTCCTTGTAAGCATGGTCCAGCCTTGGCTTATTTGCTTAGGGAGTGTGGTGTGTGTTTCCTGGCAGTTCTTTCATGTGGTCCCTGAGCTTTTCCAATCAAGGCTAGCCACACCTCACTTCCGGTTTATTGATGGTTCATTGGAGATAAGAATCTCGACTTTCCTGTGGGGCTGGCTTTGAACCTTCATCCTCAGATCTTAGCCTCTTGAGTAGTTAGGGTTACAGGTGTGAGCCACCGGCCACCTACTGGCTACTATTATTATTTTTTTCTTCTTTTAAATCAAAGCCTCCTCATTTTCCCCATTTCTGGCAACCAGCAGCATCTTCAGTGAGCCGTAAACTAACCACTCTCCCTCCTCAGGACCAACGCAGTTCCAGAGTGCAGAGCTGCCCACTCTGTTGGCTTTTAATGGATGCCTGGAGGGTTAGCTGCTCTGGCCTGACCGAGGGGCCACCTTCCTCTTTGTCCCCCAAAGCAAGATCTAGATTTATCCCACTCACTTCAGCCATCCGCCAGTTATGTGGCTGTCAGAACTCTGCTGTGGGATGGTGGGAAGACCCACTGAGCCGGCCACTGGTCGCTTCTAGCACCTTCCAGGGCATTGGAGGCTCAAGTGCTGCTCACCGTATAAGTTAGGTTACTTGCTCCTTCCTTCCCTCCTTCTTGTAGATGCTATTAGGATTCAAATTCAGGGCTTGCACTTACTAGGCAGGGATTATACCACTTGAGCCATTTTGTGAGTTCTTGTGGCATTTTTTTTTGGTACGTTTTTTATTGTAAAAATGCTGTACAGAGGGGTTACAGTTACATAAGCAAGGTAATGAATACATTTCCTATTGGGTGGTTTTGTTTGTTTGTTTGAGATAGGGTCTCACTGTATGCCTGGGTTAGCCTGAACTGCAATCTTTCTACTTGTGTTTCGCCACACAGCTGAAACTACAGATGTGTGCTACGGTGCCCAGCCATTGATCAGGGTGGAGTCTTGTGAACTTTTTTTGTTTTGTTTTTGGTCTGGTTGTCTTCCAACTGTGACCCCCAGATCTCTACCTCCCAAGTAGCTAGAATTACAGACTTCAGCCACTGGACCCAGCTTGTTTTTCCCGTTAAAAATAATTTTTAGAGGGGACCAAGGTGAGCACAGAAAGGGACTAGCAATCATGCTGTGCAGTATATACTGTGTGGAAAATGAACTTTGTGACTTGTGGACAGGGATGGGAGAGGGAAACTGGGTGGAAGTGAAGGAAGAGGTATCATTGTCCCAAAGAGAAATTTACTCATTACCTGAATTATGAAACAGTAACTCCTCTGTACAACACCTTAATAAATATCAATAAAATTATATTTAAAAACATTAATGCTGGCATTTGAACTCAGTCCCTTATATAAGCTAGACAAATGCTCTGCTGCCCAGCTACATCTCAACCCTGTTCTTATTTGAAAGACCAAGTTCTCTTTTATTTTCTCCTTACAGCATATGTTCAATTGTACAAAAGTGTTTCATTGTGATATTTTCAAAAAGCTGAAAGTGGAACTTTGGTGCCACTGTAATAGAGTGCCAGCCTTGAGCAAAAATGTTCAAGGACAATGCCTAGACTCTGAGTTGAAGTCCCAGGACTGGCATCCCCTTACCCCCCAAAAAGTTCAAACTTATACAATGTTGTGAATTTATAATGAGGCAAGTGTTTACATTTTTCCTCTTTGTGCTGTCATTGAAGAATACTGTCCCCACTCCATGTCATAAACCCTTTGGCCCTAGATCCAATTGGTATAGACTGGTTGAATATTTTACCCATGTCTTGGGCAAGTAACTTAACTTCCTGGTCCTTTCTTTGTTTCTAGAGTCTAAGACCTCCTTTACTTACAACACAGCTTGTAGTGATGACTGATTTCGATGACATTAATGATACCATGGAAAAGATGATCATATTCTGGAATTACATCAGTTGTTCTTTTTTGTTTTGTTTTTGATTGGTGACTGGGTCTTGAACTCAGGGCCTAGGCACTGTCCCTTAGCTTTTTCATTCAAGGCTGATGCTCTACCACTTGAGCTACAGCTCTACTTCAGGCTGTTCGCTGGTTAATTGAAGATTAAGAGTCTCACAAACTTTCCTGCTCAGGCTGGCTTTGAACCACAAACC